CTATTGTGAATGGAAGCTTTTTCTTAATTTTGTTTTTAGATTGTTCACTGCTAGTTTATAAGAATATAATTGATCTTTGTTTACTGATCTTTTATCCTGTGATCTTGTTAAACTCATTCTAGTAGTTTTTGTGAGTGGATTTCTTAACATTTTCTACATATAGGATCATGTCATCTGTGAATAAAGAATTTTACTTTTCCTTATCCATTTGGCCAGAACTTCCAGTATGAGGTTGAACAGAAGTGGCAAGATCTTTTCATCTATGCCTCCTTCCCGATGTTAGGTATAAAGTATTCAGTCCTTCAGCATTAAATATGTTATCTGTAGGGTTTTTATAAATACTCTTTATCATGTCAGGTGCTAACTTCTACTCCTAGTTTGTTGAAACATTTTCTCATAAATTTGAAGAATGTTTTTCCTGCATCTATTGAGATAATCATGTAGTTTTTGTCCTTTTTTCTATCAATATGGTATGATTACATTAACTGATTTTCAGGTGTTATACCTCTCATGCCTGGGATAAACCCCACCTGGTCATGGTACTGATCTTTTCTATGTATCACTGAATTTGGTTTGCTAATATTTTGAAAAAGATTTTGCATTGACATTCATGAGGGATATTCATCAGTAATTTTTTCCTTTTCCTTGTGATGTCTTGATCTGGCTTTGGTATCAGGGCAACACTGGCCTGATTTTGAAAATGTTCTCTCCTACATTCTGAGTTTGTGAAGGACTGACATTATTTCTACTTCAAATATCTGACAGAATTCACCAGTGATACTATCTAGGCCTGGGCTTTTGCCAGAAGATTTTAAATTCAATTTATTTACTTGTTATAGGTCTATAACAAGTTCATCTTCTATTTCTTGTTGAGATAGTTGTAGTAATTTGTGTCTTCCTAGGAATTTATTCACTTCAACTAAATTTTCTAATTCTTTGGCATTAAGTTGCTCATAATATTCCCTTATAATCTTTTTCTTTATGGTCAGTAGTAATATTCCTTCTTTCATTCCTGATTTTGATCACCTGTGTCTTCACTTTCCTATTTTCTTGGTCTTATTTTACCAATGTCAAATCTTTAGTGTTTGTCCGTTTTGTGGATCTTATCAAAGAAATAGAATTTTTTATTTCAATTATTTTTCTCTGTTGTTTTTATCTTGTCTACTTCAATGATTTCCACTCTAATCATTATTCCCATCCTTCTGCTTTATTTAGGTATAGTTTTTATTCTTTATCAGCTTCTTAGGGTGGAATATTGAGTTACTGATCTGAGACCTTTCTTCTTTCCCAATCTAGGCATTTAAAAACTATACGTTTCCCTCTTAGTATTTACTGCTTTAGCTATATCTAATAAATTTTGATATGTTGTTTTCCTTTTCATTCAGTTCAAAATATTTTTATTTTTATTAATTTATTTATTTTTATTATGATGACATCAGTTAACGAAATCCAGTATGTTTCAAGTGTATAATTTAAGAATAAGGCATACATATTTTGCATTGTATGTTCATCGCCCATAGTTAGATTTCTTTCTGTCACCATATATTTGGCCTCTTTTACCCATCTACCTTCTCCCTCCCCCCACTCTCTGGTAACCACTAGTCTATTGTCCATGTCCATGCATCTGTTTGTCATATTTGTTTGTTGCTTTTAGGTTTATATCCCACATATAAGTGATATCAGGTGGTTTTCAACTTTTTCTGTCTGGCTTATTTAGCTTAGCATGATTATCTCAAGGTCCATCCATGCTGTCACAAATGGCAGTATTTCATCTCTTCTTATGGCTTAATAATATTCCATTTGTGTATATGTACCACAGCTTCTTTATCCAGTCATCTATTGTAGGATACTTTGCTTGCTTCATGTCTCGGCCACTGTGAATAATGCTGTTATAAACATCGGTGTGCAAATATCTTTTTGGATATGTTTTTAAGTCTTTAGGGATAAATATCCAGTAGAGGGATTGCTGGATCATGTGGTAGATCAATTCTTAGTTTTTTGAGGACCCTCCATACTGTTTTCCATAGTGGCAGTCCCACCAGCAGTGTATGAGAGTTCCTTTTTCTCCGCATCCTCTCTCCAACATGTTATTACTTGTCCTGTTGATTATAGCTGTTCCAACAGGTGTGCGATGGTAGCTCATTGTGGTTTTGATTTGCATTTCTCTAACAGCTAGGGATGTTGAGCAACCTATATTTGTTGGCCATTTGTATGTCATCTTGGGAGAAGTGTCTGTTCACGTCCTCTGCCCATTTTTTAATTGGATTGCTTTTTGTTTTTTGTTTTTATTGAGTTGTATGAGTTCTTTGTATATTTTAGATATTAGGCCCTTATCAGAGGCAATGCTTGCAAGTATATTTTTCCATTCGGATGGTTGTCCTTTTACCTTCTTGATAATTCATAAAAACCTCATTAAATCCAAGGTCCTTGAGTTTCGTTCCTATGTTTTCTTCTCTGCATTTTATTGTTTCAGGTCTTATATTCAGATCCTTAATCCGTTTTGAGTTAATTTTGGTGTGTAGTGATAGACAACAGTCTAGTTTCATTCTTTTGCACGTGGCTTTCCAGTTTTCCCAGCACCATTTATTGAAGAGGCTTTCTTTTCTCCACTGTATTATCTTTTTGGCTCTTTTGTCAAAAATTATCTGCCCATATAAACATGGGTTTACTTCTGGACTGCCGATTCTGTTCCACTGGTCCCTGTGTCTGTTTTTCTGCCAATATCATGCTATTTTGATTATTGTCTCTTTGTAGTATAATTTGAAGTCAGGCAGAGTCAGTTCAAAATATTTAAAAATTTCTCTTGTGAGTTATTCTTTGATCCATGGGTTTAGAAGTGTGTCGTTTAATTTTCAAATATTTGGGATATTCCCAGGTTTCTTTCTGGCAGGCATCTCTAATTTAATTCTGTTGTGGTCAGAGAACATATTTTGTGTGAATTCAATCATTTTAAATGTATTGAGACCTGTTTTGCGGCCTAGCAAATGTCCATCTTAGAGAATGTCACATGTAACAGTTCCCCAAGCACTGTTGTTTTGTTTAGTAACTTGCCTGGACTATTTCTGTGAATCCTGCCTCTTACACAACTTGCAGCTGCTATCTCTGCATAGTTTCTTTTTTTTTTTTCTGTTAGTATTTTTCTTGTTTATTTTTAAGCTTATTTTTCTAGGGGGTCACTCTTATTTCTGTATAGCTCAGTGTGCAGCCAGTTACTGATTGGAGGTTATGTTCAGACACGCCTGACCTTTGGTGATGCTGCCATTTTCTGTTGAAGGATCCAAGTGTAGGCTGGGAGTACATTCAAAGTCCAGGCTGTTTTTAAGTCTGCCCACCTTTTACTTCCTTCTGTGTCCTCTTGTGTCTCTTCTGTCCATGCACAGCCTCGACTCCCTGGGATGTATGGGTGGCTTGTGCCTGTTCTAGTCTCTGCTACACATATGCACAGCCTCCAATCAACTGTGGATATATGGAGAACTTACCAAGCCTTCTCCCACTCTCCTGGCTGTTTCATCTAATAGAGCTCTCTGTTGAGTCCCTGTCTAGTCCACCAGTTCACTGCTTCTCTTAAACAGGCCCACAAACACAGGCTAGCTGGTCTACTGGCCCTTCTTTTGTGCCTGCCACTGAAATTGTCACTGTGATTCACCATGCTCTAAAGGGCCTCTCAAGCTTGGCACTATTAACATTTGGGCAGGATAGTTCTTTGTCATAGGAAGGCTGCCTTGTGCATTGTAGGATATTCAGTAGCATCTCTGGCCTCAACTCACTAGATGCCAGTACCACCCCGCAGTTGTAACAACCACAACCATCTCCAAACATTGCCAAATGCCCCCTGGAGGGCAATATTGCCCCTGGGTTGAGAAATGCTGGCCCAGAGCACATCAGCCATAATTTGGGAGAAGCGTCTTTTTAACCAAAAAAAGATCTTCTTCTATGTCATGATATATAATGAGAAACATGTGCACCATATTTCAAAGTTCAAGAGGCACACATCTCCTATCCCCAATGCATTACTTCTTTGCTCAAATGTGTAAAAGTAAACCACAGAATACTCCACATCCCTCATCTTAACAAAATAAAAATAACCAAATATCCATTGATCAACAGTCCTGACCGAACATGAGCTGTGCCTTTACTTCATTAGATCTGGGATTAAGTTGGAAGGAGGAGACTAGTAAAATAAAAAGAAGAGTTAGTACTTCCTCCATAGCGAGCAAGGACTGCCTGTCTCATATGGAACAAGATAACACCTTAACTTGCCATGTGTGATGGCAGAATAATGGTCCCCAAAGAGATCACCTCCTAATCTCTAGACCTGTGAATAACATGTGACAAAAAGGGATTATGCTGATGTGCTTAAGGATCTTGAGATGGGAAGATTATCCTGAATTATCGAGATGGCCCAATGTAATCACAAGTGAGAGAGGGAGGCAAAGAGTCAGAAGATGTGAAGACAGAAGCAGAAACTGCAGTGAAGCCATTGTTGTCAGGGCTGGGAGCCAAGGAATGCAGGCAGCCTCCAAAAGCTGGAAAAGGCAAAGAAATATTCTCCCCTGGGGCCTCCAGAAAGAACCAGCCCTGATGTTAGTGCAATGATACATTTTGAACTTTTAATCTTCAGAACTATTAAATAAAAATTTAAGCCACTAAGTTTGCTACAGCAGCAATAAGAAACAAATACATTACATCTCCATATGAAGTTAATCCAATATCCTAGACCAGCTGGTGGTTAGTTGCCAATTTTACCTGTACTTTCTAGTGAGGCAGTAATAGTGTGGAAGTGAAGGCTGGGCTCTGGAGCTGTGTTTGAAACACAGCTACTCTTGTGTAACACAGGGCAAGCGACTTGATCTCTCTGGCTCATGTAAGGGGGATGAGAGCCCCATCCTCGAGAATTCAGAGAGGCTATGCAATGTAAATTGCTTAGAAAAGTACATGTAAGATAAGACCACATCAGACTCATCATTACTAACCTCCACCCCTACTTCCTCCCCTTCCAGTGTGTCTATGGCAGAGTCCCGAGAGGAACCGGCAGGCAAGCCTTCGGAGCCATTGTGAATGCGACTATGTATTACGTCGTTGGCCTCCCACTGAGCATCGTTCTAACCTTTGTGGTTAGAATGAGAATCATGGGTATGTAGTGTGAGAAAAAGCTGAGAGAGGCCTGGGTGGTCATTGGACACTTGCCCCATTGTCACGTGTTCCCTACAGGCCTCTGGCTGGGCATGCTGGCTGTGTCCTGCTAGCAGCTGTTGCCTTTGTTGCCTATACTGCTCAGATTAACTGGAAGTTAGCTGCAGAGGAGGTGAGCAACCCCCTTGAGACACTCACCTGGCCATCCAGGCCAAGTGACTGCTCACCAGAAAAGCCCAAAGCATTTCAGCAGCAGTAATCTGTGGGGTCAGCACCAATAGCTGCTCCTGTCATTGTAACTGAACCCTAGACAGTGCCAGTATAAGCAGCACACTCTCCAGTTACAAAGAGATACACACCAAAAATCTTCCTTAGCCAGCCCCAGCTGCTGAAAACCAAACAAAAGTAAAGAGCTCAATCAAACCAGTCTCAACCTACATGACCGCCTGAGAGTGTGCTGTGACTTTTGGAGAGATAATAAATTACCCTGTCCACCATCCTCTTGGAAAACTCTTTAAACAGGGCAGGGCAGTGTTTGCTTCCCAGACACAGTAGAAGCACAGCTCAGTCTGAAGGCAGCGCACAGAAGTGTTCTCTCAAAGACCGATTCCTAGCAGGGCATGGTTTTGCCCTCATGTGGAGAGCAAGTCATCTTGGCATCTGAGATGATAGATGAATATGGATTTAAAACAACACCATTTTAAAAGCATCCCCCCTCCACCCCCAAAGTATATGAGTATGTACTGCTTTAGCAATGTTTTAAAGGCAGGCCATAGATGAGGCCTGTTGCATCACTGTCTTGTCAGGGAGCTTCTCAGTGTAATTTGAAACTACTCCCAATAGGCAGAAGGCAGGGAGAGACTAAAGAAAGAGAAAGGGGCACACCCCACCAGATTGGTAGGTGGCAGCTTTAATGAGCAAGGGAACTTACTCATGAGGCGTGTCTGAGGTGGCAGCAAGACAAGTAGATTTCCACACCTGCCCACCAGAATCTTAAAAATTTTTATAGAGGCCTTAACTGGGATTAGTTACGTACCCAGTCCAGAGAGTCTTATCATCACATTGCTATCTCAAGTCTGTGTCCTTGGACAGCTTCTAGAGCAGGGAAAGCAAGCAGAGCCCATGTTCCAAATACAGGTGAAGGAGTGAGGAACCTCTAATTTCAGGTCCAGCTCCTGAGTCAAACCCACATCTTTTTGATGACCCAACAAGGCCAGTGGCAACAGGAAGGATGGCTGCCTGACCAAGGCAAGCTCTCTCTTTTAGGCCCAGAAACATGTGGGGCTGCCATAGCAGAGCATCGAGAGCACGGCAAGCATGGCGAGCACAGCCCTCAGACCTGGGCCTGAGAAAACTGTTGAATCTTCAGGTAATGTCAGGGTACTTCTGCTGGCTTCACAAAAAATGCCAGTAGCACATTGCTCCTGGCTGCCATGTGTGCCTCTGGCCACTTGGAACCATGCAAGCCCAAGCTGTCTTTCTTCCTCTCAGCAGAAAAATGATGCCCTAAGTGCCAGGAAGAACTACACTTGCTGCCTCACAAGACTAAAAATATGAAGTATTGTTTGTACCCTTTTCCCAGTACTTAGGACATTATTTTCATGCTGAGATGAGCTGTAGCCCCGTTCCCAGATGAGGAAGCAAGGCTGAGAGCTTAGGTCTCTTCCCTACTGTCCCCTCGACTGGCAAAGGCAAGAGAAGATCCAAGCATGGAGCCATCAGACTCTAGAACACATTCTTACCACTTAACTTCAGCCTAGGTCAGAAGGCCATATTCTGGCCTACAGCTGTTGGTCCAGGCATGTCAGCCTTGCTTGATTAACTGGTATGGGGTGGGGTACACTCCCTGACTACCTCTCTACACCCCATCAGACAAACGCCTCTGGTTTACATCCACTGTCTATGTGATGAAGTGATGGCCCCAGTTCAAGGCACAGATGCCCTTCTGCCCTAGGGCTAGTGCTGAGTGCCAGGCATGCAATATACAGCCCAAACCCTTTAGTTATCTCAGTGACCCCATCTCATCCTGGGATGCCTTGATCAGTGCAACAGTGAGCCAGCTAATTGTCATGCAGGTAAGGCAAGATCAATCAAGCGTTTAACATCCTCTGAAATCAGATGTGAAAGTTACATTCGATGTGTCATGTCATCACAAAGACAGGCTCAGACAGGAACATGCCTCATCTGATCTTAGTAGTAAACTTTATCTATACACTGAAATTAGTGTAAGGTGTTTTCCCACATAATCTTCTCTAATCCTGCTACAGAATAGAAAAGCAGGCATTCTTCTATTGTACAAGTATTTCTATTGTAAGGCTCACAGGTCAGTTAACCAGTCCTACAGCAGAACAACTGCAGCCAGGCAGTTAACCTAGGTTTCCTGATTCCAAGGCTCTTCCTTCTGCCTCCAGTACTGCTGAATTGGCTCCCATTTGCCTCTGCAGTGGCTACCGGCAGCTCCCTTGGTATTTCCCTGACACTGTACTCAAGGCCCAAGTGCCATTTGGACCTCTCCAGGACTCCAGAAGTAGCCCATGCCCTTTCAGCTCCTTCCAGCAGACTGTCAGGGAAACAGCTGGTCATCCACCGTGGGGCTGCTCTGGGGGCAGCGACAGCCACCACACTCCCACCCCTACAGGTCCATCCTACAAAAGCACCAATGGGATCCAGTGCAGGTGGAAACTCTGGAACACTCCTCAAAAAGGACCTTCAGCCAGTACCTTGTGTGAGAGGGGTCTGAATTGCACAGACATAATTCTGATGTGCTGGCTGGAAAATTACTGCTTAGTTATCACCCATGGGAACATAACATTCTAACAATAAGCTTTCTGCTTCTGTACCCTCGCTTGCACAACCAACCTGTGGGTTGACAGTAAGTAGAAGAAAAATAGACTTTTGTGTTAAGACAGAATGAGGAATGGTGTTTAGGGCTTAAAAACCCTGTACCTCTACATTTCGGGGCTGCTTAATTTGGGGTCTGCGTACCCCTGGCAGACCCAGCTGGCTGAATAAAGAATATAACTCACTGGTTTCTGGTGGTCCCATCTGGTGTGTCTATCGGGGGCTGGTGGCTACAACACTGACATGGTCAAATTGGCTTTCTCTTCTCTGACTTGGTTTGCTTTTTAGAAGACACCAGCTGACTGGAGGTGAGAATGCTGGGATCACTATTATTCAATAATGAAAACAATTTCAAAAATTGTACATTTCAAATTGAAACAAAACCAAAACCAATGTTATATTAAAATTACAAATTCCTAGCCTCAGTCTTCTGCCCAGATCTGTTCACAAAGCTTTGGTGAAACTCTGAAAAAGCGAACCTTGATGCCCATCTGTTCCCTGCCCCCAAACCCCTGCTGTGGGAACCCCCTCCTCTAGGGCAAGGAGGCTGCACATAGATCCTTCTTCGCCTTTCCTCCAACCCTTTCATTCCATCAGCATTCTACTATCATAGACCTTGAGAAACACTTGTTCTTACAGTAGTGATATATGATTCAGACAAGGGCAGCAAAACTTAGATCATTTGGCCACATAGCCTCAGGATGGATTCCACGTTGATCTAAATTCTAGGATGTGTTTTTTGAGGACTGGGACTGGTGAACATTTTTGAGCTCCTTGCTATATCAGGCCACACACCATCAAATGTGGAGGGCCCTACTGCCACAGTTTCTTCAGAATTAATAAACACATTCGCAAACAAAACAGATCAAAGATAATAGAAAAAAGGATACTTAGAGTGTAACTCTATTTTGAAGGGTCAACATGCTATGAATTCAGTTTCATGGTGTTTTCAGTGTCCATAGAGACGGGGCCGCCTACTCACAGGAAGGCAGGACCTTTGTGACACAAACACCTTAGTGAGTTTCTAGAGCCCAAATAAAACAACTAGGTACAGAGCATAGCAAAGTAATGTCATTGTTTCTCCAAGCGTGTTCTAAAGTTAACAGGTATTGGGGAAAAAAAGGGTCCCATAGACAATTGAGTTTTAGAAACACATTAGCACTTCAAAGGTCTATAGGACTTGGATCTTTTACTATGCTGGTGTGCTTAACCGATCCCTAAGTAAATAGGATGGGTGGGTGGTAGGACCATTTTTATGTACAATCTTGTAGGATTAGTGCCTTCAAAAGCATAGAAACACTTGTTTTAGGTCAGCAAATGGGGATAGGATGATTCTGGCACCAATTCTGATGATCCCCCGAGCCCCACATCACTAAGCAATTCAGACACGTCTGAGTGTCCCACAATGTAACTCTATTCTGACACAATCTACCCAGAGATAGCATCAGATCCCATAAGATAATAACTCAGTTCTATAAGATTACCACCCCACCCCACTCCCACCTACACCTTCAGAATCCAATCACAAATCCAGATTGTCACTTGTGCTTATAATCAACCAGCTGGAGGTTCCAATGATCCCCTCCTTGGATTTGATTAATTTGCTAGAGTGGCTCATAGAACTCAGAGAAATATTTTACTTATGAGATTACCAGTTTATCATAAAAATATATAACTCAGAAACAGCTAGATGGAAGAGATGCGTAGAGTAAAGTATAGGGAAAGGGGCAAGAAGCTTCTATGTTTCCAGAATCTCCACGTGTTCACTAGCCCTGATCTCTAAACCGTGTCCTTTCAGGGTTTTATGAAGGCTCCATTAGATAGGCATGATTGATAAAATCATTGGTCATTGGTGATTTAACTCCACCTCCAGCTCCTTTTCCCTCCTTGGAGGTTTGGAGGTGGGGCTGAAAGTTCCAACCTGATAATCACAGGGTTGGTTTCCTTGGTAACCAGCCCCAATCTTAGGCACAGCCCAAGTCCTATCATGAACATAACAAAAGACACCTTTCAGACTCTTCACTTAGGAAATTCCAAGGGTTTTAGGACTGGCAAGAATGAGGATGAAGACCAAATATATATTTATTATAACAGTAGAGGATGTAGTTGGAAAAAACCTATTAACTGTAATGGCCTGCTGAAATGTGAAAGGGTTAAAGAATAATTAAAATCTGAAACTGGACAAAGGAAGTCTATAACTTAGGCCTAGTTTCTGGAACCCCTAACCACATTCTGTTAATCATGAAACTTGTAACAATGAGCTCATACGCTAACTGCCAATTTTAGCCTGTGTAACCCTGCTTGCTTGCGTGGCATGAAAAATAATCAATTGTACATAAGCTGAAAATTACTATTTGGCCATCGCCCATGGGAATACTGGCTGTTGCCCATGGGAACATAGACAATCACCCATAGGAACATAACATTCTAACAACAAGCTTTCTGCTTCTGTACTCCCCGCTTGCACACCTGACCAGTGGGTTGACAGGTAGTGAATAGGAGAAAGATGGACCTTTGTGTTTAAGACAGAATGAGGAATGGGATTTGGGGCTTAAAAACCTTGTATCTTGGCATTTCGAGGCTGCTCCTTTGCAAGGACAGCCGCCGGCTAATAAACTGTCTCCTGGTTAAGAGCACTCAAGTTGGGTCTGGTTATTCTGGACACAACATTTGGAGGCCCCAGCGAGATCTTCTCGTTGTGGGAAAATTGATCAGTGCACCAGGGCGTTGGACCATTTGCGGTTGGGGAGGCCTCTAGGGCACTTGCCCTAGGCGCCGCCTGTGGTTTCTCGCTTTGCGGAGCACGATCCTGGGAGTGCTGAGGCAGTTTCTGGTAGGGGGCCCAGGGACCGTGCGGACGTCGGACGCGACAAGTAAGTCGGCGGTCGACTGAGACTGTGACGACAGTTTTCTCAGTCCTGTTCTGGTTTGTTAGTCTGTGTCTGTCTTGTTTTGTTTTGCTTCGTGTGCTTTATTGTGGAACTATGGGACAATCACAGGGCAAACTAACTCCGTTACAGTGCATGCTTAACAACTTTAAAGATTTTCGTCGTAGGGCAAGGGCCTATGGTGCTTCAGTAACCCCTTTTGATTTGCAGCGCTTTTGTCAATTAGATTGGCCAAACTTCGGAGTAGGGTGGCCCTCCGAGGGATCATTTAACATGCAAACTGCAGTCCGGGTTCGAGGTGTGATTTATGGAAACCCTGGGCATCCTGACCAAATTCCTTATGTTGATGTTTGGATTGATGTTGTTTCTGATGCCCCTAAATACTTACAGAATTGCAGTCATGCACTCGTTACTGTAATGGCAGCCATACCCCAGGGTTTTAAGAAGCCCCCACCGGTGTTGCAGGGACCTCCCTCGGAGGATGACTGGTATCCGCCACCCTATAATGGAAATGGGGGTAGACGTCCTCCTCCGGAGGGACCGGGACCTCCTGTAACCCGGTCTAGGGGTCGTAGGCCACCTTCCCCTGATTCAACCTCCCTGAAAGAGCCAGTATCTGTTCAAGCCCCATTGAAGGTGATTCCAGGAGGTGGAGGTGAGCCTACTGTCATCTACTCGCCATTCAGTACTAGTGATTTATATAATTGGAAATTGCAAACGCCATCCTTTTCAGAGAAACCACAAGGACTAACCTCCCTTTTAGAGTCTATTTTCTTTACCCATCAGCCCACTTGGGA